GTTGTGGGGATCGAACCACAGCAACCTGAGCCTGACTGCTTTGTTGAAGCAGCCACTTAAAGAACTGAGCTAAGGGGCAGGCCCCCTCCAAATCTTTTCTTTTGCACAGAGGAAGAAGCCGGGGCCCAGAGCCCAACCACCTGCTCAGACCAACCTTTTAACTCCCATTCTGGAGCCTTCCTAGAGCTGGGCAGGCCCCAGAGAATCCCTGGAGGGCTGAGGCTGGGAAAGCTGCTAGCGCATGCACACACAAGTAGGTCCAGGCTTTCCTCCCATAAATCCCTCAACAGGCGGCCATGTGCACAGCTTCCTCCACTGGCCTTTCCAGGCTGTCTGCAGCCCAGGTTCAACCAGCACCGGGATGAGCCTCTGAAGTCTGCAGCATCTCTGAGGATAGAAGCCTGGGTTGTGGCCAGTCTGTCTCGGAGTGCAAAGGGACTTAGGCCTGGGCGGGGCCCGAGCTGGCTGGGGCCCGGCTCTCCTTCTCTACTGCCCTCTCCACTGGGGGAGGCCGGGCCCTTGACCTCTGCAGGACCTTCTCGCCTGTGTGGATCCGCTGGTGGTGGAAGAGCGCAGGGCGCTCACGGAAGGCACGGCCGCACTGTGCGCAGGCGAAGGGCTTCTCCCCCGTGTGGATGCGCCGGTGGCTGAGCAGCACAGCGCCCTTGGCAAAGGCCTTGCCACAGTCTGCACAGCGGAAGGGCCGCTCACCTGTGTGCAGTAGCCGGTGTTGCGTGAGGTTGGAGCTGTGGCTAAAGGCACGACCGCACTGCGCGCAAGCAAAAGGCTTCTCTCCTGTATGCACGCGCTGGTGCTTGAACAGCGAGGAGCCCTGGCTGAAGGCAGCGCCGCAGAGCACACAGGCGAAGGGCTTCTCGCCTGTGTGTGTGCGCTCATGCTGGATCAGGTGCGAGTTGCGGCAGAAGCGGCGTCCGCAGCGTGCGCATGCATAGGGCCGGCCTCCCGCGTGGATCTTGCGGTGCTGGCTGAGGTTTGAGCCGTGGCTGAAGGCCTTGCCACAGTCGCTGCAGCGGAAAGCCTTCTCAGCTGTGTGGATGCGCTGATGGCGCACGAGCGAGGAGCTGTGTCGGAAAGCCTTGCCACAGGCCAGGCAGGCGTAGGGCGTCTCGCCGCTGTGTATGCGCAGGTGCTGTGTCAGGTGTGAGGTTTGGCTGAAGGCCTTGCCGCACTGCACGCACGCGTAGGGCCGCTCGCCCGTGTGCGTGCGCAGGTGCTTCAGCAGGTCAGAGCTCTTCACAAACACCTTGCTGCAGGCCCTGCACTCGAAGGGCTTCTCCCCTGGAAGAGGGCCTGGCTCTCCCAGCTCCTCTCCGAACCCCAATCCCCAGGCCATGCTAGGGTCCCCGGAGACCGGGGACACTTTAGGAGCTGATGACCGGTCCTCCGGGTCCTTGTCCCCGGGTCCGATGCCCCTCCGTGGGGAGGTCAGCCGCAGCCCTGAACCCAGCAGGAGCCTCTCCCAGTAGATTACTGATACTCCCGTGGGCCTCCTCTCTTGGGATGGTGCAGTGCCTGGTGAGATACCAGCAAGAACGCTAGGGGAGGTCCCTGGGGCGGCCGTCGGTGCTGTGGCTTCCCTGGAGATGCCTGTACGCCCGTAAAGACGTTTGTTTGCTTTGTATGCTTCCATACAAGGAGAACCTGAGGGCAAAAAAACAGGACTGCCTGTGTCATCTAGCCAGTGACCAGAGCAGGCTGCAGGGGCAGGTGAGGGGCCCAGCTACTGGTCATGGCGCCTAGAAGAAAAGCGGAGCCTTGCGGGAAGGGGGTGAGGACACATGGGCCCAGCAGGTTGGAACTCCCAACAGCAGCCCACCTCCAGGATGTCGGGTACAGAAAGCTGAGCAGGCACTTTCGAGAGCTCCCCTGTCATCTGCATCGTGTGACTTGTTGAGAAAAACAGGAGGAAGTGGTTACTTTGGCTTAGTTTCAGACCATGGCTCTGTCATTTGTGGGGCTACAGGAGAGGAAGCTGTTCACCTTAGAAAGTGAGGCCTAAGAAGTGGGGTCCCAGCAGTGACTCCACCCGACCACGTGCCGCAGAAGCCTTCAGAATGGAAGCTTACTGGAGGATCCTGCTAAGAGCTCAGACCAGATAGCTGATAGGCATGTGCACAGAAAGATGGTTGTTTTGCTTTGTATCTTGAGACAGAGGCTCAGTGTGTAGCTCAGGCTGAACTACGAGCCTTGGCCGGCCTCAGAAATCAAGCGGATTCTCCTGCCTCATGTTTCCCAGTACTGGGATGGCAGACCTGCACCACCTCATGGTACATTCTGGCAAAGAATGTGCCTCTATGTTGTATATGCCCCAAGACTTTGCAGTGCGCTGGCTTTAGGAGTGAAAGGTTTATTAATCTGGTGGAGCAAATTTCAAGGCAGCTGCTGCATGGGTAATGCTGGCTTTTAGCCAGATTTACAATGAGACTCATTAGAAAAAGAGCAGAAAAAATTTTAAACTTGCATTTTAACTTGAGAAGTAGCCTCTGTAAAGCTGGGGCCAAGGAAGGTATGGTTATAGGTGAACTTAGTCCTCCTAAAAAGAAGCTGAGTATTACAGGACTTCTGGGAAGATGGCAGAGAGGGAACAGCAGAGAAATAGCCCTTCAGAAAACTGGTGTCCAGATGCTGGAATACAGCAATGAAGAGGAGGGAAGTGGGTACCTGGGACCTGGTGAAGACATGAAGAGACAACTGAAGCTTGAGAGCCAAGAGACGGCAATGTGAAGAGGGCACGCAGTACTTTCTCCCTGATCCCTGGCTCTTAGCATGGGAGCATCTCAGAGGCCTCCAAGGAGAAACGCAGAGGAACACAGGCACGGACCCAGAGGACTGCATGGCTGGTGTGATATTTGGGTTCACATGTCCCCCAGGAGATGGAAATTGCTAGTAGTCATCCCCCCAGGAGAGGGGCCACCTAAGCTTGGAATTCAGCAGCTCCCCAGTCAGAGTGAGGTGGAACCAAGTTCAGATCCACAAAAAGCCAAGGAGCCTAGGTCAAGCCAACAAAGGCACACAGTGTGGTCAGGGTGCACGAGCGAGGTTCACTTCACAGTGAGAAGCCACCCTACACTTCAATGGAATGAAAGGTACAGGCTGCTAGGGTTACCCAGTAACCCACCATAGATCTATGGCTGGCTCTCCGGGATGAATCCACGCAGATCTGGGCTGTCTGCCCACTCTATCTACCAGGGACAGCAGAGTCATGTCCTAAAGTGGACTTTTTTTTTTCTTCTTTTCTTGTTTTAATATTTGTTTTTCTTGATTGTTCTTATTTGTATGTAAGTATGAACACTGTTTCTAGTGTTTCTTGTTGTATTTTTTTCCCCCATTTATGTATTTGATACAGGGTCTCACTCCACAGACAGGACTTGTAGTGATCTTCATGTTTTCAGCCTCCCCAGTGCTGGGATTTCAGCCTCCCAGCCACCACCATGCCCTCACTGGTCTGGCTCAGCACCCCTGGAGGTGGGGCTGGCCTCGCATGCAGGACCAGGGATTGTGGGACCAAAGCAGGCACTTAGTCCACTGAGCTATCTTGCTGGCCCTTTTCTAGTGGTTTTTGTTTTTTGAGACAGGGTCTTGCTATGTAACCTAGGCTAGCCTTGAACTCATAATGGTCCTCTTGCCTCAGCCTGTCAAGTACTGGGGTATGCCACCAAATCCCACCTGTTTCTAGTTATTGTGCTCTATTCTGTTCTTGTTTTTATTTGTTCCTTTCCTCATTCTTTTTTAATTTTTTTGTGGAACCAGGGGTTGAACTCAGGCCTTTGCCCTTGCTGGGAAGGGCTTATTCTACTGAGCCATCTCTCCGGCCCCTATTTGTTCCTTTTCTTTCCTCTCTGGTCTTTCCTTTTAGATTTTGTTACATACCCATAAATATAGTTCATACACTTAGGTAGAAAATTAATAGCATGTTTTGTAGTTTTCTAGGCTGTTTTATGCTACTGCTATTGCTGATTATAGTTCTTTAGCCAAGGCAACACAATTGTTCTAATCAATTTTTCCTGGCACGCCAATGCTGAGACTGCCTAAGGGTCATAAACAAAACTGTAGGTCAGTGCCAAAGAATTGTGGGCCAGGTCAAACAGGCAGCAACTTCTCATCCACAACAAATTGAAGAGGCTCAAAACCCAAAACCCAGCTATACCTGGATGACATCTCTTGAGAGGCAGACATTTGCTAAGAGTTCTCAAACACCAGTAAAGCTACCTGCCACAATTTATGAGCATCAACTCAGGAATTAAACCAAAAAAAAAGAAAGAAAAAAAGAAATGAGAAGACATTTAAACAAGATGCAAAATGAAGAGAGAGTGTGGTCACAGTGGAAGTAACAAAGCATATGAATGAGATGCTAGGAAAAAAAAATCAAATCACAATTTCTCAGACAACTACAGAGATAGTGATCAACATGAAAGACATATTTAAAGACTCTAGACCAGATACAGATAAAATGCCCAACATAGGAAAAAATGGAATTCATGAAACAGATTCAAACAGATATGTAAAAGATTAGAAATTCCATTGAAGAGGGCCTGCCCCTTAGCTTAGTTCTTTCAGTGGCTGCTTCCACAAAGCAGTCAGGCTCAGGATGCTGTGGCTCGATCCCCACAACTCTAGCCAGCCAAACCTGCCCTGAAGGCATTTGGAGGAAAAAAAAAAATTCCATTGAAGCCAGGAGAATTACTGGAGTGTGAGGCCAGTTTGGGCTCAAAGTGCAAGGCCAGCCTGAACTGCATAGTGAAATCCTGTTTTAAAAAAAAGAAAACAAAAAGAAAAAGAAAAAAAGCAAGGCATCACAAAAAAAGAAAAAATTCAATCCAACAGCCACTATATGATGCAAAGAATAGTGTCAAATTCGCTGGAGTCTATGAAAAAGCAACAGATAAAGCAAAACAATATGAAAAACCTGCTTACAGGGCTGTAGAGATAGCTTAGCGGTCTAAATGCCTTCCTAGGAAAGCTCAAGGACCTGGGTTTGATCCCTGGTACCACGTGCTGGCTGTGCCAGCCACACTCCAGATGTGACGCTAGCTACCAAAACCTGGGGTGGTGCATGCCTGTAATGCCAGCACTGGGGAGGCCAAAACAGGATCACTAAGAGTCCAAGCTATGCAGTGAGACGCTATACCAAATACATTAAAAAAAAAAAATTGTGTCTAATTTACTTCACTCATTATTTACTTCAATCATTATGCTAAAACAAAACAAAAACAACTGTTCACAGAAATCATGGCAAAAAACTTCCAAGCTTGAGAAAAACAATCTGACACAGAGATAAGTGAGGCATACAGAACTACAATTAGCCATGATAAAAAAATAAAAAAAAAATCTGCAGCAAGGCAAAGAGTCAAGATTGAAGAAATTGGGGCCAGGGTGATGGCTTGGTGGAATAAGCGCTTCCCTGACAAGTGCAAGGGCCTGAGTTCAATCCCCAGTTCCACCAAAAAATACATGAAATTCAACAAAAGAACAGAATTAAAAAATAATAATGAAAAGAACACAATAAAAGCTGTTATTAAAAAAGAAAGAAATCACCTAAAATGAAAGCACATCAATATCACAGCAGCCTTCAACACAAATCCTCAAGTTGAGTTTGTGAGTAAAGTATTTCAAGCCCTAAAAGAACTCTGAACTCTCTTTCCAAAGTGATGGGAAAAGGTAGTTCCATGAAAAGAACACCTGAAGACTTTTTTTTTTTTTGGGCAGAACCGGGGATTGAACTCAGGCCCTTGTGCTTGCCAGGCAAGCACTTATTCTACTGCGCCATCTCCCCGGCCCCAAGGACTAAGCTAAGGGGCAGCCCCCCGAAGGCATTTTTGACGACCACACCAGAAGGACATTCTAGAAAGAGGTGATGAGTGGACTATAACTGCATGAGTCCCAGCATAATGAGTCCATCAGGCAAGGGAAGTAAGTAAACAGGGTGGGCGGACAAGACGTGTGGTGGCCTCAACAGATGCAGAAAAAGTGTTCTACAGAGTTTGACACTCATTCATGATTTAAAAAAAAAACCTTTCAGAAAATTGGAATAAGGGTCAGCCAAAGAGCTCAGTGGATTAAATCACCTACTTAGGAAGATGCAGGGCTAGGGGTTCAACCCCCAGCGGTGTGCCATGCTGGCCCGCTCCTGGGGCGCACTGAGATGGCAACTGGAACTGGGCATGGTGGCATTCACCTGTAATCCCAGCACTTGTAAGGCTGAAAATAGGAGGATAACTATGAGTCCGATCTGTGTAGTGAGACCCTGTATTAAAAAATACAAAAAAGAAACAAAGAAAAGAAAATATAAGAAGGGGCCGGGAGATGGCTCAGTAGAGTACGCACTTCCCTGGCAAGCACAAGGGTCTGAGTTCAAGCCCCAGTTCTGCAAAAAAAGAAAATATAAGAAAAAAAATGGAATAGATGGTCTCTGTATCAGTTTGGTGAAAGCCATCTATGACAAAGAGCCAATATCATGGGCTGGGGAGATGGCTCAATAGAATAAGCGCCTGCCTGGCAAGCATAAGGTCCTGAGTTCAATCCCTCATGCCACACACACACACACACACACACACACACACAAAAGAGCCAGTATCATACTAAATAGACATGGTAAACACCAGCACCAGCACTCAGGAGGCTGGAGGATCACTCGTAAGTTG